CAGGATAACGTAGACACAAGTATTTTGTTATGAGCTAAAGCTAAAATTTATTACGGGGTTTCTAACCATGACAGATTGAGTTTCCAGAGCATCTCACAAAAAATAGTGAAACAAGAAAATCAAACTTCTCTTAAAATGGTCTGAAAGTCCTGTATTTTCAAATAGACATATTTGCATTATGCCTTGTGAAGTATGGAAAGAGGTCAGGTCCGCTAATAGAACAGCGCTTCCTTTTTGTGTCAGAATACTGACCCAGAATCTGCATTGCACTAGGTTTACAATGCAACTTGGGGCAGAAGGAGTATTTAATAGCTGCTGCAGTTCCTTTTGTTGCTGCCGGGCTGTGTGCGTGGGGATGAGTTAGTGCCTCGCTGACCTGCTTGCAGCCAAGCTGGCAGCAATGGGGCAGCCTAGCTATGAAGGCAGTTTTCTTGAGAACAGTCCTCAGTGAAGAAGTCCTTAAAGAAAACTGAGTTTATTTTCTTTATATCTGAAGACTGGATTCTGCTCTTGCATCAGTTTTATCGTAATTCAGTTAGTTGTTTTTAATTAGTTAGTCTTTAATGTGGTAAAACCGGAACTGGACCTTTGTAATCTTTTTCTAGTACAGCAACCTAATTTCTGTTTCCTGGATTATTAGAGAGTAATTTAGGCTGGAAGGGATCTGTGGAGGTCATTTGGACCAACCCCCTGTTCCAGACCAATGTGGATCAAGTTGCTCAGGGCCCTTTGGCTTTGTAGTCCGTTCTGGCTCTGCGTTTCCTACTTCTGTTCTTGTTACAGAGCTGTGTACAGCCAGCTGTGGTTCCTATGGGGAAATTCTGACTCGTTAGTCATACCTTTTGACTGGACAATATTTACGAGAAGGAAACATAGCTCTGCTTCCTTCTAACTAATCCATTCTTTGTGCTTGTGTGCGTCACTGTAGGTTGTGCAGGATTCCCAGTAAGTACTTTCCTAGACTTAGAGCAGGTGGCACGCTGGCATGTAGCCAGCAACTTGCTGCCCAAGTAGCAAATGTGTAACAGTGAGCAAGTCAAACCCTTTTTTTTTTTCATTTGGTGCCAAGGATTTTTTTTTTCCTTGTTGCTTTGCCACCCCCTGCCCTCAAAATGCAGTCCATGCTGCTCTCTGCACTTTGAGAGCTGCTTACGTAATGTCTTTCAACTTGAGGTACGTACATTCCTGGAGTAACCCCAGGGAGCAGTGTGGGGAGATGTGTGGAGGAGATTATATCCAGGAGAAGATAGCTGGGCTGGAGATGGAGCAGGAGGAGTCCAGTGTCTGACAGGAGTTTCTCAGGCAAGCTGCGAGCTTTCGGGTTCGGGTGGCAATGGCAGGGAGATAGTGGTTTGGCTATCAAGCTCCTGGCAGCCATATGCCTCTTCTGCTTTTTGTCTGTGTGGCACCTGCGCCCTTCCTCAGCTGAGTCCCCTCGTACTCCATGCTATTGTGCGGCCTCCCTCCAGCCCTATTTCCCCTACTCTGTTCCCAGCGGAGGGTTCCTCGCACTATGTCTTTCTGCACTTGTAGAAGCTAGTATGTCGCTACTCTGAGATTTGCTGTCTTGCAGCAGAAACGTGAATGACAGTTTTCACGTGACTTGTTTCTTTTGATTTGACAAATATATCATTTAACAAAAGTTCTGAAAAAAATCAAAACCGTTAATAAAACATTCATTACTGATGCTCCTGCAAGAAGTATGCTGTTCTTAATTACCTTACCACTTTGTTCTTCATGCGGATAAGCACATGAAAAGCAAACATGTAATGCATTCAGATAAACTCACATTCACCAACATCCCTTACAGTGCAAGATAAAAATAAACTTTGTGCTTTTTTCCAAGTCATCCTAATATAGTCTTGTAGCAAACTTCTCTCTTCTTGCTGAGAGTGCATCTGTATTGATTCTGAATTTTGGAATGACATTCTGTGAAAATAAAAACAGATAGGGTGAGATGTTGGGTCTGGTTTCACGATGTACTTGCGAGCCTGCAGATGAATGTTCTTGCCATCTACCCTTGTTCACTAATAATCATGCTACTCTGTGGCCAGTGAACGGATATGGCCAGAAAACCACTTTGTAGTGGTACACAGCCAGAGCGTCAAGTTCAAACTTTCCTAAGCTAACTAAACTTATCCTTCATAAAGGTTTCTTATAACTGACATACAAGTTTTAGTTTAAATCAGAATGTATTTTCTTTAAACTGATGTTTCAATTTCAAAAATACTTGAAGCAAATAGAGACATAACTATTGAATTTCTGGGGAGCCATATTTAAAAAGAACACCAGCCTATTGGAACTATATCTGAGTGGCTAAGGGAGGTTTCAGATGAGGAAACTTGTTCGGTAAGGTAACATATTTGCTCTTCCATTCTCAGTAAAACCAGTATTTTATACTGCATTAGAAGTAGGTACCAGCCTCTGATTTGACTGGACAGGGAGAGGGATCACACTATAGTTTTTGTTTCCTCTAGCCTCCCAGTAGCAGCACTGTTCTGCAGCTAATTTTCTGCGCATAAGCTCAAATGGTGTGTTAGTGCAGGGACTAGAGGTGGAAATGTTTTCTAACCACAGTTATCCTTGAGGTGATGTTGCTGTTGTCTGAGCACTTCTGTGGAATTTGTTTCTACTAGGCTGTTGCGTAGGTAAGAACAGCAGCTGAGATTAAAAAAAAAAAAGAAAAGAAAAGAAAAAAAAACCCAGTTGCCTAATGATTCATCTCTATGGGTGGTTAAGACATGAATGACTTCACCTGTCTTTCTGCTTTTGACTTGTTTCCCCTCTTCTAGTTGGTCTGTCTCTGTCCTTGTGCAAAAGGTACTTCCCTGCATTCTTAGAATACACATTTTCCTCCTGTCTTCAGAAAAGGCCTGCAATTTTAAACCGCATAATCTCCATAAAGTGACCTGGGCGTGATTGCAAAATCTCTGATAAGATGAGGAATGCCTTCTGTGATTAAAAAATGGTAATTAATATATACTAAAATGTAGGCATGGAGAGGACAATTCATAGTTTTGATATTTATTACTAGGTGGAGATAGGTGAAGGGAGTAGGAGCCAGATTTTGACCCTGGCTCAGCCACATCATGAAGGGAGTGGGAGAAGGGAAGGGGAGGATGGCTGCAGCTCTGTGGCTTTTTCCATCTCTCTGTATTTGGGAGCAAGACACAGATAATAGCGTTCTTAAAAGTAAATCTGCCCCCGGGAGGAAGGGAATCTTGAGTACATTTCCCTTTCTAGGAAAGAGAGTAGCATAAGTTAATGCATGAACGTATTTCATCTGGCAGGTGTAGCATGAATAGGTTATCTCAGGGTAACCTGTTATTGTTTCAGGCATGTTAAGTAATACCTATGTAGCGCCTGGACTGTTACAAACATACATTCTTCTTTATTTTCCCTGTAATGCCCTCTTCTTCACCTTGATGAAGAAGGCCAGAGTAAGGTTGCTATCTTCCGCCTCTACACTAGATTTTACAATTTGCCATTTGAATTAGTACTCTGAAGAAACTGCTCAGCTTTTCACCTGTGTTGTGGGAAAATGTACTAGAGAAAGGTGTGTATATATTTAAAAAGCTATGCATGTTACAGCCTAAGTTTTAATTAATTACATAAATGTTATGGGACAGCTTTCTTTTTGTCTGAGGAGACATAACCCTGCTGAATCCTACTGCAAAATACGGCTGCCTTTGAATCTACTTTTAGTTCCAAGTCAAATTTTTATCCTGGCTGGTTTTCCTCGGGTGTAAATCCCTGAGCCTGTCATGGGAAGCTGTAAGAACCTTGGCTTTACAATGAATCCTTGGTTGATACGTTCCTCAGATGAGTTTCCAGAAAAGTTCCAATTCACTGGAATTGCTTTCTCCAATAGCAAGATAAAAGGAAAATTTAGCTTGGTGGTATGCTTTTTTTGAGGTACAGCCTGCAATTTCCCTTGCTGTATTTAAATCAGTTTTGGGTAGAGAGGAAATTTTTGGGGGCAGAGGGAAATATAGATCCTGCTTGTGATTTCAAATTGCTGTATGGGCTTTAAGTTTAGGAATTGACATGGGAGACTGGGCATTTGAATAAACTGAAATTTATAAGCAAAAACTGATACATACCATTGAGTTTTGCACAGTGTTCAACAGTTTCAAAAGGCTTCTTCTGTTCCCCAGAAGGCATGTGACCTTAGTGCGGTTGTAAAAAGTGACGTATTCCCTGTTGGAGTGGAGGGTATCCACGCGTCAGTCTGTCTGTAGGATTTGTTACTAGCTGGTCTCCAGTTCACATAAGTAACTAATCTAATAAGCTGGTTTTATTTGAATAGAGTGGTTTATGAATGCTGTAGTTTTTAGCAGCCTTTTCACTCCCTTTATGCCAACTTGGTTCTGTGTATGGAGCAATAGAAGTGTGTAGAAAGGGATGAACTGGGAGGTCGCTTTGCCTCATGCAAATGTTGTTCCTCCTCAGCGTGTGCTTATGACTGGGAGAATCACAAGCAGCTCTAATTACTTGTGATTCTTTCTCCTGAGAGAATGAAAGAAAGGAAAAATCTAGTGGGGAAGCTGGTGTGTTCCCTCCTGGGCACAGTGAGTCGGCAGCTACCTTGCTGTGCACCTGAAACACAGGAGGCTTTTGACTAAGAGCAGAAGAATGGAATGCGGTGTGAGGCTAAAGCCGGTGGTATTTGTCTTATCACACACACTTGCAAAAACTGGAAGTAAAAGAGTCGTGAGATCCTTGGAGTAGTGAGAGCCTGGGAACAGAAGCTACAACTGCTCAGTTGTCCTTATGTAGTGGCATTTGGATCTGAAACTTCCAGGTGTAAATGGAAACTTCTCACGTATCAGTGTGAAAGAACACCCAGTCTTGCATTGAATGTGCTTGTTGGTCTTTCAGTGTTTGCATATTCTGCTTTGAGATTGTTTCCTGTTTGCATATATGAAACATGCAGATGACTTTGTGATACATTTGGTTTCCCTGATAAGCTGTTGTCTTTGTTTTTTCTGACACTCCAGTACTCATCACCAGTCTTTTCTTCTGAATTATTTGGGCACAGCATTTGAGAGTCTGCTTTAAGAAGATAAAACTTGTGGGTTCAGTTTCTGCCTCTGCCATCAGCTTGCTATTGTGCTGTTTATTTTAGTCAGGTAAGTTTATATTATCTTTGCATTAGTAAATTGCTGCTGTTTTGTACATAGCTGGGTACAAGTTAATATGACATCAAAAATTCGAGTCTTCTCCATCCTATATGCCTGCTTAAGATGCCATATCACTTCATATGTGATCTGGGATTGGTTTCTGATTTAAATTTTTTGTTCTGTCTGCATTCAGGAATTACGCTTTAGTTGCTCTTCTTCTCAAACATGTCTTATATTAGTGATATTTTGTATAAGAATGTAGCTGTAGAACATAGCACGATTAAAGTTATAAGCTGCTCTGCACCTGTGCACAGTGAGCAAAGTGCAAATAGAAACTACTGAAGGTCTATCAGTGCCTTATAAGATTGCGTGGCAAAGTATAACATGCCATTAGCCCTCTGCTACAGCTCATACACAACAGCGACATAAGGAGGACGTTTATTAACAAGAGAGAGAGAGATTGTCTGACCCATATGGGTTTCAGTCATAGTGGTCCTGAGCTGCACCTTACAGATCAGTAGGCATCTAATACACCTGGGTGTCCTGGTGGACAGCAAGTTAAGCATGAGCCAACAATGTGCCCTTGTGGCCAAGAAGGCCAATGGTCTCCTGGGGCGTGTTGGGCAGAGTGTTGCCAGCAGGTCGAGGGAGGTGATCCTGCCCCTCTCCTCAGCCCTGGGGAGGCCTCACCTGGAGGACTGTGTCCAATTCTGGACTCCCCAGTACAAGAGAGACATGGCACTACTGGAGAGAGGGCTACAGTGGAGGGCTACAAAGATAATTAGGGGACCGGAGCATCTCTCTTATGAAGAAAGGTTGAGAGAGCTGGGCCTGTTCAGCCTGGAGAAGAGAAGACTGAGAGGGGTTCTCATCAATGTGTACAAGTATCTGAAGGGAGGGTGTCGAGAGGGTGGGGCCAGTCTCTTCTCTGTGGTGCCAAGTGACAGGACAAGAGGCAACGGGCATAAACTGAAACACAGGAAGTTTCATCTGAACATGAGAAAAAACAACTTTTCTGTGAGGGTGCCTGAGCACTGGAAGAGGTTGCCCAGAGAGGTAGTGGAGTCTCCTTCCCTGGAGATATTCAAACCCCGTCTGGACGTGATCCTGGGCAATATGCTCTAGAGGCCCCTGCTTGAGCAGGGAGGTTGGACTAGATGATCTCCAGAGGTCCCTTCCAACCTAAACAATTCTGTGATTCTGTGATTATATTGTTCTCCTGAGATCGATCTTTCTCTCAGTTTATCCAACTGGAAGATGTTACATATGTAAGTTTCCTCTCCAGACATCACTCATTAATTTGTCTGGACAATGCCAAAATAATTATATTTAAATATATTTATATATTTATATATCTCTCTCCTTAAACTAAGGAAGTTGAACTTCTTCAGCTTTTTCTCAGAAGGCCTGTTCTAGCCTGTCCGACCATTCTTGCTGTGGTTCTTTGGAATCTCTTCGCGTTTTTGTTTCTTAAATGCGATACTCCCGTACTCCCATGGGGGCTTAACAATACAGGAAGAACTCTTTCAGCTATCTTACAGATACTGTTTTTCCTTATGGATCTCTGTGCGGTGTTTGCCATTTTCATGGCACTGTCAGCTCGTATTCAGCTTCTAGTCTGGTAGATCTTCTGGATCCTTCTCTGCAGTCCTGCTGCCTCAATAATCAATTCATGTTCTTCTGAGTGAAGAAGATATAATATGTTTATTGTGTGATAGATGGAAAGAGAGATGCATTTTAAATGGTACAAAAAGCCGGATTTTAGGAGACCAAAGGAGAAAGGGGCTTCTTAGGCAGTTCTTTCATCGCTCGCTAACAGTAGTATTCCATGCGTTAATTCAGAAGTCTGGAATGATTTGTGTTTAGGATTATTGTTCTCATATATCAAGACGTTTATGTGAGAAGGTCTTCTTCAAGAATACACAGTGAAAAAATTACAAGTTCTTGTTCTTTTGGTTCATTTTACAGGCAAATCTGCCTACAAAATAGCCAGATTCTTTCCTGGGATGAGCCTTGCTGATGCAATTAGTTGTTAGAACTGGTGATGTTAAGCATTAAATTCTACTGACAACAGCAAACAAATTTTGGACTTCCACTACATGCATAAATAGAATGAAATGAGGTATACTGGATAAAGGTGATTTTAGATGAGTAGTTTCACAGCAGTTATCTTTACCAGAGGTTTTATTATTCCAAAGTAATCATTCTTGCTTAAGAAGGAGAAGAGTTAGTTAGGTCACTGTGTGGGAAACTATTGTGCAATAGGTTATTGTACAACACAATTACTCCATTGGCTTGTAGCTTAGGCTTCCACAGTCTGTTATGACTGCATATTGACTTCTGTGAGAAAGAGATTGTGATCTTCCTTTTTCTCAGAAACCAAGTTCCCCAAAGGCATTTTAACAACTTAAGAGTTAGCCAGATTTTATGTTGAGGTTTTTTTCCCCCTCTTGTCTACAGAGCCAGAAAGCCAGCAAGGTCTTGATGAGCAATGTCAATTTTTTAGGGATTCTTCACTCTTATTTTCTTTGTCATTTTGTATAGTGACATGGCGTGTTGGGCGGCAGCCTACTTAACAGCAGACTTTTTGGATTTTAAAAATCCACAGCGTAGCTTCAGAGAAAATAGTTGTTCATTGATTTTGGCCTAGCAAGGTAAACCAGGTCTGAACTTAAGTCTTAAATGTTCAGCTTTGAATCAGCTGGTATCTGTACTCAACCATGTCCCTCTCTAGTTCCATTTTTTAGGGGGGGAAATGCGATGTCACTTTTGTATAATCTAGTAAAAGAAGTTAGGCTGTTAACCTTGCAAATAGTTTTTTGGAGCATATGGCCTCCAAGTTAGCTAATTTGCTTATGTTTAAGTCCTGTTACTGCCTTGCCCTTTGGTGGTGTCCCTAGCTGTGATATGAAAAGTGAAAGGACTTTCGTGGGGAGAATTGTTAGGCTGATGTCTAAAAGAGTTTGCACAAGACAGTGCATATATCCAGCAAGCTGTGTTAATGAGAGAACCCCAGACAAACACCTTTGTTGCTATTTTAAAAAAGGAAAAGAGAAAAAAAGGGGCGGGGGGAGAGAGGAACATTCACCATTGATTAATTATAACTGGCCATCAATGTATTTAATTCTGTTCAATAAAGTGCTTGTTTTACCTGCTGTTTCAACTCTTATAAGAGTTCAATGTCAGAATATTTGTATCAAAACTTAGCAACACTTGACAGGATTCACAGTACGAAAGAGAGAAAGCAACAAGCTTTGTGAGTAGTGTTGTACTGATATGTGTATATGTTTTTATTTTTTAACTTTTTTTTTTTCACTCATCCATACTATTTCTCTTGTTCTTTTTATTCTTACTAGTGGTATGGTTAATTATAGCTTCTACATTACTATAAGCACGTAGAATTAGTGTTCCAAATACATGTTCCTCATCCCAGATTGTGTTGAATGGAAAGACTTAAATGTATACGGAGGAATGAAACGTGGAACAGAAGAGAATGGAGTGTGCTTCTAATAGAGCTATTTTATAGTCCTTAGGAGGAAGAGGAAAAGGGAGATTCTCAATTAGCACTGACATCATGAAAGAATGTTAACAAAGCTGTTGGGGCGAATATAGGAAGCTGGTAGGCATGCAGAGAGCGAGGAAGTCTGCACTGAAATCACAACCATGTCCTTCCACTTTGGGAAAAAGCAGTGGTTGGCATTCTTATATTCTGTAATGAAACGATGCAGTGATTGGTGGAGGAAAGTTGCATTAAGAGACTCATTGAATTGGCAACACTTTGAGAGTTATAAAACATATTTGAGGGTTATAAAAGCTTTGAAATGATTTGGTCTGCTTACTTGTTTGGGGTTTCTTTTTCCTTCAGTATAAATATTTCTTCATTTCAGATAAGAACAGAAATACATATTCTGTTTTAAAAGTTTGAGCTTTACCCCAAGGCAGGCTTCTGTGACTTATCAACCACTGGGTGGTCCGTGATATTTTTTGCTTTTTGAGGGCAGCTGGGGGGATCAGAATTATGGTTCTTAGAGAGCTGGCAGAGACTGCTAGTTAGCTTCCTATACTAGTAAAGGTGCGCAGTCTCAGTGTTTTAGCATTTTCAGCAAAGAGTGGTGGTGGGAAAATGGGGGGGGGAAGATTTTTTGCTTGTTTTTTTGTTTGTTTGTTTGTTTTATTTTGTTTAAACCCTGTCCTGTGAACAGGAGAACAGCAGGAAGCAACAACAAAAAAATCAAGATTAATAATTAATGTTTAGGAAACAAAAAAGTCAATGCATTTTTGTGGGTAAATGTGTATCTTAATCCAGTTGTCTTCTTGCTCTCTGTCTAAACGCAGCCTATTTAGTTGCCGCTTTCCCTAAACAAAGTATTCTGTTATGCCTTTCTCTCCACTGTGTTTTAGATACAATGTCTGCTCCTAGTGGCTTCCCTGGCCCATCTGCGCCGCCTTCTTATGAGGAGACAACAGGCATCCATGTTAACAATTCTCACCCCTATCCTGTCCCAGAACCTGGACAAAGACCAAATTCGAAGGGAGCCAACCCTCCTCCTTATGTTGTACAGCCTGGGCCAACACCTAACCCTGGTAAGCCTGAAATGCTTTGCTGTACCTCATGCTGAAGAGGCATCAAGCGGCTGTAATAAGTGCTGTGCAGAAATCTAGAGAACATGACTCGCAGGTGTTGCCCAAATGCCAGAAATATTTTTGAAGGGGATAAGTTGAATCAAATCTTATGATGCCTTGAATGTATGCTAGTATCAATAACAGCATTTGACTTTCTGCAGTTTTTAATGCAGACTTATTCTTAAACAGTGTGTTCCTCCGTTAGGAAATTTCGTGGTAATTTGTCTTGGTCATTGTGTATTTCATTGCCCTGAGCCTCAAGTATTTCAGAGTAATACACATTGGGTAAACATTGTATTTCTTTGCTCAGTTACAGTTCAGACTGTGTATGTGCAGCAACCAGTAGTATTTTACGACCGCCCGGTTCAGATGTGCTGCCCTTCCTGTAACAAGATGATAGTGACGCATCTTTCATACACCTCAGGAGCATTAACTTGGCTGTCATGTGGTGGCCTCTGCCTGCTGGGGTAGGTTGATTCACATCTGCACTTTATATTATTCTCGTATTAACTTTTATAGATCCAGAAGCGATAAGGATCTGATAGTTTCACAGCTTTGTTGTTTTCTCATTCTATCTGGGACCTGACCTTATGGTCTGAGTAGCCCACATCCGCTCAACTCCCATAGGACCTTGATGCAGCTCTAGAACAGTCAATTGAAGGACTCCAAAGCCATATGCGTTCTCCTTAAAGCTTCATGACTTCAGTTCTACAGATAGCTTCTGTAGGAAACACATTTTATTTTCTTGTGATTTGTAACAAGTCATAAAACAATATATTTTATGCTTGCAGGTGTGTAGCTGGCTGCTGCTTAATTCCCTTTTGCATTGATGCACTCCGGGATGTGGATCACTTCTGTCCAAACTGCAAAGCTTTTGTTGGTTCTTACAAGCGTTTGTAGGCAGTGTTTAAATATTGATAAAGATTAATTGCTGAGGTTTATTAGCACCTCTACAAGCCCTTTCTGAAGCTTCATGGAGACTTTTGGTTGCTTCTGTGCCTCCTGTCACTGGAATGAATCAAAAAAAAATGTATTGCTGGATGTTTGAATAAGAATTTGCTTAAGGAGACTCTAACTTAGGTCTATAAAGAGGACATGTAATCTTTATGGGCCACTTAGTTCAGCACCAATTGGTAGTGGCCAAATGTTGTCCCTTTCTGCTTTATGCAAAACAAGTTGATGACGTGGTCCAGTTAACGTTATCTCAGTCATGTTGCACGCTGGTGTGCTTGCTCACAGCTTCAGCACAGACCAAGAGGAGAACGTCCATGGAGACGGTCACAGTCTCCTGCTTGGTGGTGATGCCTTTGGAACAGCACTGTTAACAAACTGGCAGGAGTCGTTCACCTCTGGGACAGGCACCCCTCTTTGGCAAAAGAAGTAATTTGGTGCCAGTGTTATCAGTTGGGCACTTTTTATGAGCACTAAAATTCACTTTAAAACATTCTCACTGAAAGAGAACCAAACCCTGAGTCTTGTTCCTCCTTGAAGGCTGCTTTACCAAATAGTCAACTCAGGTTATTGTGCCGATGGTGTTTTCATCTAGTATCTAAATTTCCTTGCCAGTTTTCAGTCTAGTCATATCTCCACTTCATGGTAAAGATGTTCATGCAAGAGTTTTTTATAAATATTTTTTAAGATTTTTTTCTTTTTTACTGCTGATTTATAAGTCTGTGAAAAGTTCCCTTCTTTCTCCGCCCCAGGGGAAATTCTGATAGCATTGAAAGACTTCCTTTTACATTTACACAAATCAAATGACAGATTATAAACAAACCTCAGACTTTTCTTAAGGCTAGAATTTTGTCTGCAAAACATGAATGAATACGGGAACTGTGCTTTTGTTTGTTGATCTGTTTGTTAATTGCTATTTCCTCATTAAGAAGGTAACATGTTTGTTAAGGAGTTTCTCAGATGATTTTTGGACTTGTACTCTTGATTTTTCTGAATGAAAGATAAATTCTGCTTTCAGAAACTTAACCTGAATATACCTGCACTGATCATAAAAATTAAGGAATGAGGCTCTAAAGGCTGAAGTATTCCACCATGTCATATAAACAGCAGGCCAGGTCCAAATACTATCTTGATGCATTGAATAATACCCGTCTAGAAAAGGCAGTCAGATGCTTAAACATAGGCTGTGATTCTCACACTGTATTAATTTGTGTAAAGGTAAAACTCTAAAATAAACACGAATAAATAAACAAACATTGCATTTATTATTCTTACCACGTGTGCCTCTATATATATTTGGCCTAGGTTAACTTTTGAAAAGTCTTTCAACACTTAAATGTTTGAAATTCAGGACTTCCCTGGATCACAAATACACGCTTCTAGGGCTCATGTTGTTACTTAGTTTGTCTAAACAGCTGCTTTTTGCGGGTCAGTCTGCAAGTGGTTTTAAGAGCTTCCTTGTGTATTTGGAAAAAGTTTCTGATCCTGTATCTCTCTGTAGCACAAAGAATTTACGTTAGCAGCTACTAACCGCCAAGAGAATAACAGAGATGATAAGCTGGTAGCTGTGTAGGTGTGTGCCTTGAGTACACAGGGCTAGCTGGCGTTCCCTGGCTGCTGCGGTTAACGCTGACAGCAGCACAGTAACGCTCTTGGTGCTCTTTAAGGGCTTGGATGATGGTCCGTTGAATTTGGGAGGTTTGAGCAGGTCAGTTGCTGTGGGATGTTCTGCAGGAGAAGAGCTCCGAAGCTGTAATCCAGCTTTAAATGCAGAGATCATATTATTGACAGGCTGATAGGCTTTTTCTACTCTGATGAAAGAGACCCTGATCCTAACTTACGAAGGTCATATGCGTTGCTGTAAAGCAATACTGTTTTTTCCCCTGGATTTGACAAAAGTTCTTTCTGCCAGTTTGTGTCAGAGCAAGATAGAAAGAAGCAACGAAGCATGCAGTGTTTCTGAACTTTTTCTTGTGTGGCGGTGTCCCGGTCCGACCCAGAGGGGCGGGCACCCCAACCGAAAGGCATGGTGGAAACGGACCGCGAACTAATCAGACTGGAGGTGGCGGGTATAGGTGCTAGTGTGTCGATGAGTGGATTTACAATACCGATAACAAAATAAAAACAGTTTAACAATACAGGAACAATTATAACTAGAAACCTGGAAACACCAAATATATGTACAATATTTACAGCAGGGGTGGATACATAAACAATACAAGGATACACGTACAGAGGGGATAACAAATCAGTTCAAAGGAAAAGTTGCGGTAAAAAGTCTGTGTAGGGGTATATGTACTGCTACTAACATCAACGGGAGGGGCGCCCAAGAGGCCGCGCAGGGCAAACGCGCCTCTCCCCGCTATCTCTGGCCGTGCTGTGAACCCGGCCACACCAGCGGGCGGGCCCTGGCCTTCAGCAAGGCTGCTGAGCTGCAGTGATTCAGCTCTCTTCCTGGTTCTGCCTCGCTCCACCGTCGCTACCACCACCCGCGCGCACCCACGCCC